ACCCGACCAATATTATAACATGGATCTTTCCTTTCATTTATAGGCTTCGCAGAATTTTGGTATATATGATAAAAATATTTTAAATTGATATATAAAATCTATTATATCTGACTACTTGTTTTCTTCTTTGTTCTATCTGTTTATAATTTTATTATTATTTCCTCTTAGTTATGAGTTAAACATGTATTTTTTAAGTCGAAAACAGGTAATTAAGCTCATTAAGTTTGGTTAAGCAACATTCAGGTACATGGCACAAGGTTATGTAGATATGCTGATTCCACAAGCATTACTGAAATGCTGGTATTTGCAATTCCCTTTCCAGCTAGCTACTCTCTCTCTCTCTCTCTCTCCCCCCGCATCAGATGTTTTGTGTACAGGCAGGGCATCTTTAATATTCTTTGCATATATACATATATATTTATAGTTCTGGAAAGGGGTGAATAGATAAGCATGCATCAAAACTAGCTATATTGCTTAATTGTCCCAGATGCAATTTTCTGAATAGCCAATGCAGTGTGCAAAGTAAAAGTAAAAGACAGTTGTACCTGCTGCATATATAGAAGATAATGAGAGAGAGAGAGAGAAAAAGAGAGAAAGAGAGAGAGAGAGAGAGAGAGAGAGAGAGAGAGAGAGAGAGAGAGAGAGAGAGAGATGGAGAGATGACACATTATTTTACTTTAAGGTTTCAGAACAGATCATGTTCATCCTTTGATACTTAAACTAAACAAGCAGATCAAACATGGATTTCATCTGCACGTGCAAGTGCACCGTGAAATACCGACATCAATTAAAAAGCTCTGTATATATAATTATGTATATATATAAGATGTAGAAATAAACCAGCAGAGCGAGCAACCCCCTGCAGCTTTTTCGCACCTTCTTTGAAGAAACTTATTGATTGTAAAAAGCTGAAAGCAAAAAGATATGGTTGATCCTTCGTATATGTAAATTCATCATTGTATCACGTTACTCAGAATGCATATATATATATATATATATCTAATGCATACGGTTTCTTTTTCTTCTTCTTCTCTTTTTTTTTTTGGTTCGGAAGAAGCATATGCATATATGTAATGTAATATGTTACAACGTAAATAAAGGGCAGGCTCTCCTCCCCTGCCTCTGGTCTCAAGTCTCAGGGGAGCTTGTTTAATTATAAGTGTATGCATAAATTCTCGATGTAATCTTACATAATTTGTAAGAATTCACTGTCAATTGCCATATAGATGGGAGTGTACTATTGCAGAGTTTTGTTACTTACTGCATGTATATACATGTCATATTATATACATGACTGATGATGACAGACTAGCAAGCAAGCAGAAGGGATGAGAATCAATATTTGTGCACTACAAGAGGAGGAGCGCATATGCATGATGTTACTGGTGGACTGGGATTGTCCCATCTCTAAACATAAGGACAAAACCCAGGGGCGCAGGGGGCCATATATCCCTCAATTTCAATATGTAGCTAGCTAGCTTAGATGTATATATCCTGTATTTTCACACCAATACAGAGAGACAGAGACAGAGAGACAGAGAATCAAGAGACTGATTGGAGTCTAGCTGTCAGCATCATATACATATATATATATATATATATATATACAGAGGAGAGAGAGAGAGAGAGAGAGAGAGAGAGAGAGAGGATAGACATGGACATTTGGAGTTGGGCCGAGGATTCTGTTGGTCGGCTGATAATGAAGCAGGCAGTGACTCGGTGACGCAGAGCCCTCCAAGACTCGCAACTGCTGATCAAGTAAGTTTGCCTTGGAGTGGAGCTAGCTAAAGCTAAGCCACCTTGCACTTTGCACTTTGAAGGAAGGAAGGGTCCCCTTCCCCTTTAACTTCAAGGGCCAATTTTAAATAATTTCCTGTTACTTTCCTCTCCCTTGTCATCTCTTCTTAGCAGCACTCATTCTCAAACCCTACTTCCTTGGCTTCTTCTTATTCCTTTCAGAAGTTTCCCTTGTCATTTTCGTCCTTCTTTATATTCTTCACGATATCATAATATTGTACACACCAGCCTCAATACAGTAGCTGCATATTTTTCTAATTTATTCAAGTTAACAGTGTCATGTTGAAGATAAGTGTTTGAACACGTGTCGAAAAATTATACGAGAAACACAAAGAAACATATGGAAAATGAGGACAACAATCCCGTCCCGTGTTATGTTGGAATTAGTGACCGGAAAAAATGATCATAAGAAACATGGTTTAATAATTTATACAGTGAGCAAATTAATAATAATAAAAAATATAACGAAAGAAATGAAAAGATTGGGCATACTTAAATAAATAATTGTACTAGCTAGTGTCTTAATTATTTAAAGGGCCACGTAGCAATAATTAATTTTGATATATGTGTGTGGTAAAAAAGGCATTGGAAGCATGCATGTCCCGATTGAAGGCATATCTCTCGATCATGTTGTCATATTGATGGTATCCTCTCCTGCCTTCCTCTTTCTTTTGTTCCCTTCTTACTCGTAATAATTTATTAATACATAGGTATATGGACAAACATATAAAGAGATATCAAGAATTAATTCAAGGCTACAAACAAAGCAAGATATATACATGTCAATTTCGTTGGTCAATACATACAGCTTTAATTTGCACGAGACAAACACATGTTGTTCAATCATCATTGTATCAAGAGATCAACAAGGGAGGTGTGGGATGTTGGCCATTGCCATTTACTTCTTGTCTATATTTTCAAGGCAAATCCCCTTCTCAAAGATATCAAAAGTCTTTACAATTTCTTTTTAAGAATTTAAATAATAATTTTGTTTTTGTTTTTTGGTTTTTGGTTTTTGTTTTTGTCTAGATAATTAATTAAATTGTCACAAGATGGATGTTGATAATGCTCTCCCTCCCTAGCAGACACAAAAGAATGGTGGGTTGGGGGTAAAGGGGGCTTTGCAGTTTGCAATATTAAAAAAGCTAAAGACTGGTTTCAGGACCCATAATGGACATGAACCAAACAAGAAAGAGACAGATATCAATAGATTTCCAGTGAATTCTTTCCAAAGGTTTGTCACTTGCTCACAAAAAAGCGATCGAGTCTTTTTTCTTTTTCCCAACATATAAGTTAGTTTTGGTAAGCTAGGTTGAAGCTTCCTTCCCAACTCAACTTCACCCCCTTTCCTTCTCTCTCTCTCTCTCTTTAGAACATGATTCCTTCTTTCTTTTATTCTTGCCAAAGAGGAAAAATAAAAATTAATTAACGTGGGTTGAAGAAGTAAACGGACGTACAATAATGAATAATAATCTAGCAGCTAGTAGGACATGGGAGCGTGGGTTGTTGTTTCTCTCTTTTTCTTTCTTCTAGTTTCTTTTTTCTCTTCTTTTCATCCCCCTTTTCTCTTTGTTATATCTTTTTGGTTGTGATGATGTGTACCCTTTTATAGGAAGATGACCTTTTGGTCTCCATGTGCCTCTCCTCTCTCCTCTCCCCTCTCCCTCACCTTCAACAAGGCTTCGAGGCTTTCAAACCATGGTAGTGCTAGTGCTAGTGCTAGTGCTATTGGATCCTCTCACACGAAAGACAAATATCCAAAAAGTAGGCGGATCTACTCACCCAGGAGTGAACCAAAGTATCACAAAATCGAGGCAAAACCATGTGACACGTGTACCCGCACCCTGTCACTTGGTGTATGTGTCATCATCTGGCAGGAAAAATAATAGAATTTGGATGCTCTCGTGGGTGGGTTGTGTAGGAAAGCAAAGCAAAGCAAACATAAAGTGATCTCACCCCCCCCAACCCAATAGAAGTTGTAAAATGTAAGTGGTAACCTAACCCGTCACATACACACGCTAGAAAAAAGGAAAGAGAGAGAATAAAGATAACAATTAACAAAGGTGGTATGGTATTTACAACCAAAAAGCTTCCATACATGAGTGTGACATATGCTTTGCAGGGAAGGATCTAAAGGCCATGGATTTTGTTAACCCATATATGATGTATGTTTCTCTCTCATTTCCATTTGAAGTTATCAGATATATATAAAATAATCATCAAAAGTTGGCCCAACAAACCCTAATCATCAATTTTTTTTTCTTCTTTTTTTTCCAAGTAGGGTGTAGGGAGGGACCCGTTCATTTGGCATCTTTTTAATCCATACATTACATACATACCCCCTTATAATTTCTCTTACAAACAAAGTTGATAATAATATATAGGGTCGATTGGCAAAAAAAAAAAGTTGATAATAATATATCGATAACTGAAGAAACAAGGCATGTGAGTGGGGAAGACTTGATCTTTAAAATCCAAAAAGAGAAGTCTGCCTGTGCAAGTCCAAAAGTCAAAGCATCAAATCCAAAAGATAAAAGCCCGCTTCTTTATGAAAAAGGAACCAACGACAAGATCCATTATGATTATATATGCATACATTACATTGTAGGTGTAGCCTTCATTTCACGTAATCAGTAAAATTGAGTTCATGGTCCTATCCTATATCTATCTCCTATCCTATGTCACAATCACACCTTCAATTTCGTATTCTCATTTCACAATCACAGCTTCAGGTTTTGCCGCAGAAATATTGTGGGCTACCTAAGCCCAAACAACTGGCTTGCTTGCAAATGGCCCATGGACTTGATCTTTTTTTATTATTTATTTCACGGAAATGCTATAAATAGTTGTGTGTATGTGTGTGAGAAATCTCCCTCCCCTTCAGTTTAAACTATTGCACCACATGCATGAATTTGAATTCGCAAAATAACAACATAAGGCTATAGTAGCAGAGTGATTTACAAAGAAAGAAGACTAAATAGATGTTGCTTTTCCCCCTTTGTTACATAAGTGAAGGAAGCAGATAGATTCATATTTATTGGGACGGATATATAATTTATAAATGAAGTGGAAATTAAACAAATAACAAAGATAATGAACCCCGAAAATGAATGGACAACATGATCTTTTTATTCAACTTCCGGCTTCCTGTAGGTAGTTAGGACGTATATATATATATTTGATTAAAGAAAGATTAATCTTAATTAACCGAAGAAACCTCTATTTGAAGTTCGATTGATGGAGGAAAGCACTGAAATCACAGCCATGCAAATGGCTCCCACCAACAAAACTCCGGTAGCAATATTTGCCCTGTTAAAGAAAGCATTATCCTTGGATTGTTCTTCATCCAAACTTACAGGATCCTCGCCTTGTGCTAAAAGCAGTAGAAATAAATCATTGAGGACTCTTTTGAACTCAAAACCCACACCAAAACCAGCACCCACGCCCGAAGCTAGAACCAAGCTAACCAACTGGATGCACACACATTTCCATGTCATCATGTCATCAAGCAAAAATTAATCTTATAATAATAATAATTAAAGTAACTAATTACTCAATAACACTTGTGATTAGCTAGGTTTCTAATTATTAGAGTGATTTTCCGAACCTTGTCTGCATAGAAATCAAACTCAGGCATGCATTCGTTGCGTATCAACCTCTTTTGGGCGCAGGCATAGTATATATCAAAAGGTAACTGTATTAACGTGTAAGCTGCTCCAATTGCTGCTGTAGCAAGCACGAACCTGCCCATTTTTAATCATGCAAACACATAACATTAACTATATATTATTTAACAATATCCATCGTCAGGAAAATTTAATTAAGAAGAAAAAAAAGAGATCGACGAATACGGTGCTGAAAATGATATGTACCTGTATGTATGGATATCCTGAAAATGCTGTTGGGTGCTGATGAGTCAATTTTATATTATATATTTAATTCCATTCTTAGTATATTTTGGTAGGATTTTGATACTTTGAATTATATTTTCAATATAGGTCTTTCAACTTCCTCTGAAGAAAAATATAATCAAATGGACGAATTTTGGAGTAATTCCAGTTGGAGGACGTATGTGAGTCACTTAGCTTGATCGTATCAAAATATCAGACTTTTCCACCAAGCGATGATTTCCTAGCGAATAAATGAATAGTGATGTTTTGGGCTTGTATTGCATTTTTGGAGCCCAAGATAACCTCATATGGGTTCGTGGCCTTCTGGAGAAGTGTTCGGAATATTTTTATCTTTAAAACGAGCTATCTTGGGCTAGATTTGGAGGAGATTTGAGACCAAAACTTGGCTGGGCATATTCTCCTAATCCAATTTGAACTTTATTTCTCAGTCTTATTTTATTTTAACTTAGTTTCCTTGTGGGGATTGGGTAGCTAGATTTTAGGAGGTATTTAAGCTCATTTTCACAGCAACTTTTGAGGACTCCCTTTTGACTTCTTTTTGGCTTTTGGGAGCAATCGCTAGGGTTTTGGATTTTTGCGACTTTCAGGTGTTTTCATTCTTATTCTTCTTAATGATATTTTCTTGGATTTCAATTATGAGTATGCGTAACTAAAATCTCTTTTGCTAGGGTGAAGCCTTGAGCCTTAGCATGAATATGTGATTTTTATTTAATTGCTTATGTTTGAGTGCATGCATGCTTTGAATTGTTAATCACTGTTTTAAACTATCTAATTGTTTTAATGCCTGATCACCATTAGGATCTTTAGAAAAGTAATTAGATGCAATTTTGGTCGGAAGGTTCCCTGAAATTGATGCTAGCTTTTTGTGATTAATAATTGTAATTTCACTTAAGATGAACACCACGTCTTAAGGGTTGCATGATTTTTCAAAGGATTTTCACAAAACTTAATGAGTCTTTCATGTTCAAATTTGATCCGAACGTCCGGATGAGTTGCATGTTAGATATACGTTCTACGTTGGAGGTTCCAAGTAGAATACAAATTAGGAAAACCTAACCTTCAAAGTGGCATGTGCAAATCATAAGTAATTGGTAAAAATTCGTAGGATTGTTAGGTGATGGTGAAACCCTAGTGCTTTTATAAATTGATATTCAAAACTTCTTCCTTCAATCGTATTTGTTTTTGTTTAATATTTGTTTTTAGAATCAACCAACTTCATATTCATCTTTCTCTACTTTTAATTTTAGTTAGTTAATTAGAAATTGTTTTCACATAAATTGCTAAATAGTCCTTGAGGAGAACGACTTTGCATGAGCATCTATACTACAATAGCCTTGTATTCTTGCAAGTATTTTACGTGATTTTAACCCTGTTTGCACAGGTCCATCTTGAAGTGTGAAGTGGTCGGTAACCAGCACGACAACTGAAGCAACTAAGGCTAAAAGAGTGACGATCCTCAACACAAGAATTGAGGCAGGAATAGCTTTAGAAGCCATTGATGATACTAGTTATCAATATTAACTAGTGTCTATTGCATCACACTTGTAAGTTGTACGCACGTAGCGTGTAATTAATTGTGATACGTACTTAAACGAGGCTAGCCCTAGTCTTTCAATTTATAAAGAAACAAACAGCGTCTCTGTCTCTGACTCTGTCTCTGTCTCTCTCTCTCTCTCTCTCTCTCTCTCGTGAATATCGTAGTTTGTCTGGTTTGTATTTGTTATGGTGCAAAGTGACGGCCTTTGACCAACCAATGGCCGGATGTTCAAACAAAGGGCATATAATTTGGTTGCATAAAAAAATGTGCAAGAAATGCGACAAACGGCCGAGCTGATATAGTTAGGCTAGCTCTTCCTTGTTTTTAACTTGACTGCATATCAAGACAATAATATGGTTGTCTTTTGATGATACAAACTACAACGTTTATACAACATCTCTAAATGTATCCCCCGAACTTTGTCTCAATATACAAAACAATAAAAAAGATGTTGCAAATAACACCTAGGAGATGGGATTTATATAGAGGTATCCAGTTTAATGAATGGGACCTGCCTAAATCTTTGCGAAGTGATATCTTATATATATATATGCCTCTTTGTTTTTGGGAGCTAACTGTTATGTTTATAGTATACAAAATAGAACTTTGATATTATGTTTGGTGAGACGGAGTAGAGAGGAGCTTTAGATCCAGTTGAATTTTGTTTGAGGTTTTGGGCAATATGAATAGGATAATTTGTGTTCTTGTTATTGTTGGAACTCTGCAGAGAGAGACTACTATAATGCTTAAGCAACTCATGACCTACGCACAATAAAAGTCAAATAAACAATAATTATATGTACGATATAGAGCCTTATTTTGAGAAATTTTTGTATGTTCGAAGTGGCTCTACTCGATTTTAAAAGAAAAAAAGGATCCCACTATATATAAAAAGCCTGGCTATACTATTTATTAAAAATAAATAAAATAAAACCAAAAACCCAGTCAAGCCGTGCGGCTATACTATTTCTCAAAAAATAAAATTAAAAAATCTAGTCTAGCCGCACGGCTATACTAAATTAATCAGAAACGTGTATAGCCGGCCGGCTATACTACTTGTTAAAACAAATTCAAAAACCGGGTATAGCCGAAAGGCTATACTATATATAAATAAAGACCCGCCCAGCACATAGCTCCACATGCCAAACTAGTAAAGCCAGGTGGCTATACGTTTTTTTAAAACCAGAAAAAAGGAGTATAGCCGTACAATCAAACCGAGCATAGCCGTTCGGCTGTACAGTTCTTTTTTAAAAAAACTTAATAAAACCGAGTTGTATAGCCGGCCGGCTATACGTTTTTTTAAAACTAGTAAAAAGGAGTATAGCCGTACGGCTCGACTATTTTTAATAAAAATTAGGATCAAACCGAGCATAGCCGTTCGGATGTACAGTTCTTTTTTTTAAAAAAACTTAATAAAACCGAGTTGTATAGCCGGACGGCTTTAATATTATAGCCGTGCGGCTATACCTGGTTTTTTTTTTTTTTTTTTTTTAATACTCTGGCGAATCGGACTCGTACTCATCACTACGAACGTCTATGGCACAGAGCAAGCCCATTCCTAGTTTTGAGCAGTGTTCGAGATATCGGCCTAGGCGGCCTGGGAGGATCTAGGCGTCGCCTAGCAGGCCTGGGCAGATCTAGGCGGCCTGGGCTGGTCTGGGCGCCAGGGCGGTTGTGTCCTTTTTTTTCCAAATGAAGACAGACGAAGCTTGCTGGTGCGAAGGAGCAAAGGTGACATGTATATAGTATGTGAGAAGGAGGAAATGTGACATAAAATAAGGAAAGGCATAAGAAATGATGGGTTTGTTTCGTGTGGAGTGAAAGGAAGAGATAGAAAACTGTGTTTCTGTTGTTGAGAGAGTGAGAATTGGGAGGCAAATGAAGAGGGAACGAGAGATTTATAAATCCTGGTGGTCTTGGTTGGGGTAAAGAATAGGAAAGGATAAATTAGTCGTCAACACGCATGCAGGGAGAGGTCGGTTAGTAGAGGGAGGCAGAGACAGAGAAACGAACACGAAGCTTGCACTCGCAGTCCAATCTTCAAAATTTAAATACTCGGTCTTGAGCCTCTCTCTCAACTCAAGCTTCGATTTTATTTTTTTTCTTTGGTTTCGGCTGCTGCGTTGATTCTTTTATTTTTTTTTTTGGTTGTGCTTTTCTGTTATTGAAGTTGGCAACGTCAGATGAACATCCAAGGCAGTTTCTTAGTATGCCAGAAGAAGCCCAGCAGATGGTTCTTTAACCTGAGGCACACCTTCAGTTTGGCATTGGATTACACCATCTCGGTCTGAATAACAAAGATAGATCTGTGGTTGAGGAGCTTTATAATCAACAGTTGCTCAGATTCTACAAGAAAGATGGGAGTAGATGTCCATCACAATCCGCCTGCCTAACAAACAATAAACACAAATCATATTAGTTTCTGAATATTTGCCTCAAATATTAATACTAGGAATCAGGTTCTTTGGGGTTTTGAATATCAGAAATAAAAGACCAGTGCTAGTGCGAATTGGGCATTCTGCCTTGTTTATATTATTACATTCTACAGCTAGCATATCAGTTGATTAGTTAAAGATGTTAATTGGGGATGCTGAGCACCCTTGAATGTTGTTAGTCCATGCTTCTTTCCTGTATTGTTTATCTTGTTTTGTTTTTTTTCCTTTGTCCTCCAAGAGAAGCTCTTCTTTTGTCTTATTTACGTAGATTTATCTCGCCTGAGGAAGGGTTGGATGTGAGTTAACCGGACTTCAGAGACCCCTAAAGCATGAGAAATTATGACTTACTCATTGAAGTGTTGTTAGAAGGGCCACTTTGGACCATATATATTTTTGTCTGTAAGGACAATGTGCAGCACTTGCACTTAAAAGGTACACTAATTGTTTCTGAAAATGGTGAAGCTTTGATTTATCTAATTATTTATTTTTAACAATTACGCTTTCATTCTTATGATTTGTTCCTTAAGAAAGTAGAGTTTTCACCTGCTAGCCTCTTCTGATATCCTTTGGGTTCTTTTCAGGGTTTATGGTTTGATGGGGATTCTTCCTTATGGATGATGCAATGCATGAATGTTGAACTTGCTAACTCGCCAGGCAAAAGAGGAATATTCAGCGTACAGCTACTATTCCCCAAGGCAACTTTGCAGACCATGATTGGAAATTTTCCTGCTTAAAAAATGTATCAGGTACAGACTTCTAAGATAGTTGACACATGGCTGACACATGATTCCTACAGAATGGAAGAAATAAAGTCCAAACTTGAAGAAGCCTCTGGATTGCCCAATTGTTGTGGATAGATGGTACACACATCATTATGACCCTTCCTACCATTCAAACATCAGACGATTGTTGTGACCTGGTGGACAACCACATCATGCTCTTTCTGCAGGGAATTGTTGACCATGAGATGAGGTTTCTTGACATTGTAACTGGTTGGCCTGGGGGAATGACTGTGTCTAGACTTTTAATTGTGTTCAGGATTTTTCAAGCTCTGTGAAGGTGGACAGCGTTTGAATGAAAATTTTAGAACTTTATCTGGAGTAGAGATTAGAGAATACTTAGTTGGTGGGTTGGCTATCATCTGCTTCCCTGGCTCATAACTCCTTATGAAAGCAATGGCCTCCCAGCTTCCATTTCCGCTTTCAATGCCGTGCATGGGGCTGCAAAGTCTCTTGCGGAGCGGTAATGGCATTTTCACAGTTAAAGGGCACTTGGAGAATCCTTAACATGGTCATGTGGAGATCCGATAAGCGGAAACTTCCTAGCATCATCTTGGCATGTTTACTTCACGATATAAGAATTGACAGGAGATATATTACAACTTAGTGATGGCCTCTTCAGCTTCTTCCAGCTGTCCCTTCACGTTTTCAAATTCAATACCTTTGCCCTTTTTGCTCTTTTCAGTAATATCCACCTTCCTCTTCAGGTCTTCCACGGTTATTTGAAGGTTTGTCAACTTTTGTACATCAGAATCAAGTCTTTCTAGAATCCTTCTCTTGTTGCCTTCTTGATGGGGCTCTGTAAATCTCTTAGAGATCCCTAATTTGTCCACGCCCAATTCCTTCTCAACCAATGATTCTGAAGAGGAATATTTATTCTTGTGTTCCTTTACTGCTTCAGTCTGACTGTGGTCAGTTGCTACAGCGTCCTTTTAAAGAGTACCGCTCGGCTATATCATTTAAATATAATATTTAAATAGTATAGCCGGTCGGCTATCCATTTATTTGTTTTTTTAAAAAAGGCCAAAAATGGCGAGCTTTACATTTCCCTCCCTGCCTGGGTAGCTTCAAGTTCAAGGCCAAAAAAGCGGTGGGCAATTTCTCATTTGAGCTCTCATGGCGCCTCCCAAGAAATCAAGGAAATGCAAGAAATATAGGAAATTGAAGAAAGCTTTGTATCAGTCAAGCCTAAAGCCGTAGACTCTGACTGGTGGGATAGTTTCTTTAACCCAAGGTTTTTCTTTTCACTAAGCTTAGTCTCCAATTACTCTGCTTCCTGCTTTTTAGTGGAATGCATTCAGATTACTTGTAGTTTTAACTAAATTATCTTTATATTATGCTTATTTTGGAAAATCTATGATGCAAAGAAATCTAGAACAGGTGGTGGATTTTGATCTGTAATGTTAAATTCGGTAATGATGTTCATAATTAGAACTCAAAACCTATAAACTGTGCTTTTGTTCAGTTAGGGTGTTGGAAAAATCGGCCTAGGCGCTAGGCGAGTCTAGGCGAGTCCTTTTTTTTTCCCTGACTTTAGCTAAATTATGAACTCGCTTCAATTTCTGATGGCCACTATACAAAAATTTGCTTTTGATTATGTGTTTTGCATCCTGAAAATATAAGGATGTGGTCGAAAAGTTATTGCTAGAGGGAGCAATAGAGATTTTAGCATGTAAAAGTAGTATGTAATTGTTAGGAATCTGGTTTGGCCTAAGTTGGATGAGTAGTTGGAAATCCTGACTGAA